GCTTGAGCTCAGGAGTTTGAGACCAGCCTGGGCAAGATGGCAAAATCCTGTCTCTACAAAAAGTGCCAAAATTATCCAGGCGTGGTGGCGCACACCTGTAATCCCAGCTACTCAGAAGCTGAGGTGGGAGGATCGCCTGATCCTGGGAAGTGGAGGCTGCAGTGAGCTGTGATTGCGCTACTGCACCCCAATGTGAGCAAAAAGAATGAGACCCTGTCTCAAAAAATTTTTTTAATTAAAAAAATATTAAAAGGTTCTGGTCATGGTCAGAGGCATCTTTTCTTTTCTCTTTGTACCCTATGTCAGTTTTAAGTGACCACAGAATTTTTTTTTAATACGGTGTCGAAGTTATATAATTCATGTTTCTACCCATAGTTCTCCAAGTTAAGTTCTTCCTCTGCAGCTCCGGGTTAGGGTGGTGAGCCTTAGTTTCACTCTCTGTGCTCCCTTGCAGCCCTTTTAGAGTCACCTGTTTCCAAGATATCATTGCTCTTTTTTGTCATCGGAACCTGATGTCAGCATTTTGTTCTCTTAGTTAATGCAGCAAAATGTATATGTTATCAGATGCAGTGATTGGGGTTTTCTATTCACTTCCCATCAGAACTAATCTGAATAAGGTGATTCTTTCATCCAGGTCACCTTTTCGTCCAGTAAACCCATCTCCAGGGATTTATAACTATACCAGAAAAAGAAAAGGTTGTATGCCTGAGTATGTGCCTGGCTTAATTTTAATTGGTGTAAAATTGCTAGTGACACAAATAACAAGGGAATGATCATTGAAATTTCATATGATCTGGCTAGGATATGGTGCACCCATTAAAAATGATTATATTGAAGACTGCTATAACATAAGGAAATGCCTGCATTAGTCGGCTACAGCTACAAAACAAACAACCTTGAAATCTCAGTCATTAAATAATAAGCTTTTATTTCTCATTCATGCACTTTCAGATCAGCTGGATTTTGGTGGAGCTAGTTAGGACTGGTGGAACTTGGCTCCAGGCCATGAGTTGAGTTGGAGTTGGATTCACATATCTCAGTGGCTGGAGCACCACCCAGGGTACATTCTTTGTATGGAAATAGCAGAAACCCGAGAGAGTAAACCCAATGCTGAAAGTCCAGGTGCAGCCTCAGTGCACATCACAACTACTAACATTCCAAGTCACATGACCAAGGCCATATTATAGGGCTGGAAAATATCTCTACCTCTGACATTAGTAACTACAAAGGGTATAGATATAGACAGATATGAAAGATTGGGAACAATAATGTAGTCTATAGCAATATCTCACACAACAATTAAATGGAAAAAGCACACATATAGGATATAAAGCACTTGATCATAACTATGTGAAAATATTTTTCCATATCAACAAAGAATAGAAATAAATAAGCAAAAATGAAAAAAAAGTTACGCCCAGATAATAAGATGATTTAAGAACTTTTTTTTTTTTTTTTTTTGAGACAGAGTTTCACCCTTTGTTGCCCAGGCTGAAGTGCAGTGGTGCGATCTCAGCTCACCACAACCTCCGCCTCCCAGGTTCAAGCAATCTCCTGCCTCAGCCTCCGGAGTAGCTGGGATTACAGGCATGCGCCACCATGCCCAGCTAATTTTGTATTTTTAGTGAAGACAAAGTTTCTCCATGTTGGTCAGGCTGGTCTCGAACTCCTGACCTCAGGTGATCCACCTGCCTCAGCCTCCCAAAGTGCTAGGATTACCAGCGTGAGCCATTGCACCCAGCCTGATTTAAGAACTTTTAATTTTGCTTTTCTCCATTTCCATAATAATATTATATTACCCTTTTTAAGAGTAGGTTTTAGAAACTTCTCACAGCTTCTAAAGCTTCTCTTTTATCTTAGTTATTTCATTTAGTTAATTGCTTTATCCATCTATATTAAGACTTTGTAGAAAACATTGAGTATTGTAAGTACAACCCAGTCAGTCAATTATTCTTAGTCCCCACCAGTTCCTAATCTTACATTTGAATCTAACGAACTATCATCATAGATCCTTAATTTGACCTGTTGCCTAAAAACAATTGAGTTGCCTTTATTGTTCCCTTATTCTTCATTATTACAGCATTAAAGATTATTCTCCACACTGACTTCTTTGAAATCTCTAACATTAGAAATTCATACTATTGAATAAAATCATTGTAAATTCTAGTTTTCTAAAAGCTACAAGTACAGTTCAGCAAATATTTACTGAGCACCTGCCGTGTGTGAGGCACTGTACTAGTTGTTCTACTCATCCTCTTACTCTCAAGGAGCTCACAGTCTTAATAGGAAGAGAAATGTGCACACATTTTTTGAGGACAAAAATAAGAAACTAGGAGAAGGGTTCAATGGTTCTCAACCCTTGTAACATATTAGAATCATTTGGACTTTTTTTTTAAGAGATAGAGTCTTGCTCTCTAACCCAGGCTGGAGTGTAGTGGAGTAATCATAGCTCACTTTAGCCTCAAACTCCTGGGCTCAAGTGATCCTCCCACCTTGGCCTCTGGAGTAGCTAGGACTAAAAGCATGCACTACCATGCCCAGCTAAGTTTTTAAAAAACATTTTTGTAGAGATGGGGTCTTGTTATGTTGCCCAGGCTGGTCTCCTGGCCTCAAGTGATTCCTCCCCGACCTCAGCCTCTCGAAGTTCTGGTATTACAAGCATGAGCCACTGCACCCTGCCTGGACAACATTTAATAAATACCGATGCCCGAGCCTGTATCCAGACTTGCTAAGGTTAATTAGTCTGGTGTCTGGCCTGATCACTGATTTTTTTTTTTAAGTTCCCCAGGAAATTGTAATGAGCATCCAGGGTTGAGACTCACTGAGTTAGTTATTCTACTTTCATCCTGATTGAGTTGTTTCACTAGACTAAGAACTGACAAAGACTCTCAAATTCAATATTTGAAACGATTCTTTACAAATCAATTATGTTATTAAAAATTATGTGATGCATGCATATATTTTAAAAAGTCAAATGGCACTAAGGCTTATGACTAAAATATAACAATTCCCTGTCCCACTCATGCTCCTTCATACCCTGTTGACTTTGACTCTTTAAATTATTTTTATAGAATTCATACATCTCCTTACATCAGAATGTCAATGCACTGGCATCTTTTGCAAAACCGATTGCTGAACTTCATTTCCTCCTACCCAAAAATACCTTAAAGCCCCCAAGGAAAGGTCAAAAGGAAGAAACACCAGGTAATTAGAGCAGTGGGAAGCAAGGGAGAGGTTTTTCTTTTCAATCCGTGCCTAGGTGCAGACTAGCCCTTCTAACGGGCCTAAGCAATTCAGAAAGGCAGCTAAGAGAGCTTCTCGAAACCCTGCCTGCTCGTCCACCTCTTGGGAGGCTGAGGGGCTTTATCTAAAATCATAACCAAAATTTCCACGTGTTCTCCTGGATTCAAGCCTCCCAGAGTCAATCAAGTTATCCTAAACTTTTCTAGAAGTTAAAAACAGTTTGGAAATAGGAATACTTCCAAAGCAATGTAAAAATCCTTGCAAAAGCAAGAGCAACTTGAAGAGCACAGAATTGGCTCAGCCATTTGAGGAGCTGACTAGAAAAAGGGAATTTTTATTTTATTTCTCATATGTATCATATACATTGGAAAGTTTCACTTAAGGAGATAGTAAAAGTTTAATTGAGGTAGTAGGCATTTGAACAAGGATGTGATTGACAAGTAAGGATTTCAAAGGTGGAGGGGACAGAAAAGGGTTTAAAGACTGAGAAAACGGCACAGGCACAGACCAAGAGTCAGGGATGTGTGTGGGTGGTGTCAGTGGTAAAGTTGCCACTCAGGGTCCCAGTAAACTCTGAGAGTTGGATTTAAAAATTAGCACCAAGTCATAATGGAAGAGATCAGAGATGTGCAAAGGCCTCTTATAGGAAGACTACTTTCCAGGCCAGTGGCAGAGTATAAGGCGTTTCTAGCCTACATGTGTGTATTCACATACGTAGAGAATAAATGTAGGCAAAAAATGTTGGGGGCAGTACAGAGAGGGTTGGTGGTGAACCTGGAAACTTTAGAAACCAAGACAGAAAAAAAAATTCATCTGAAGGCAGAGAATAATAAAAAATTAGTCATCTTTAGCATTCTAAATTTGCTTTAGCTTGTAAACCTGTAAACTAATTTGTCTAGTGCTTGCGATAGAAATATCTTTATTTTAGAAATATTGCAATCTTATTTTATATTAAGTTGGTGCAAAAGTAACTGCAGTTTTTGCACTTTTGAACCCACCTAATAGATATTGCAATAGTCTAATATGGCCTGAAGACTTTTAACATTTGAATCAAATTGCTAGCTTCCCTTACTGTAAGGCTATGTTCATATAATTTAGCTTCCTAAATTACTGTTGAGGGCATTGATTAGCAAAAGCATTTGACCCACTTATGACTATGGTCCTCACTATAAATTAACAGAGTAGCATTTTCATTTATGCATTGGTCCTTTGTGAGCTTGATTAGCATAAAGCATCCCCAAGAAACTGATCTAGACTTGGTACAAAAAGGCAATCGAGCTCTGGACCTGGAAAGCTTGAGACCCATAGCCAGTATGAGGCGCCAGTCAACTGGCTACTTTTGAGACCTATCCAGTCAAAGTAACCAGCCTGGAGGGCACCATACTACCACCCAAAAACTATGCCACCTAGGCTGGGGTGCATGAGAAACACTGGGAGATGGAGATACAATAAGGGATGTGGTTGGGAGAGCAAGTCAGGGCATATTAATGAAATCCTTGAAAATTGGTTAGGTTTGAAGGCTGTGGGGACTCACTGAAGATATGTTAGCAAGGTATTACATAAAATCAGTTCCCTATTTAAGGAGAACTTCTCTGTTTAACGCATGATAGCTGGATTGAATGGGAAAGCCGGAGACAGGGGACTAATTTAGTCTATTGTAATTGCATAGGTAGGAGGTGAAGGAGACTGCGAAAAGGCCAGTGGCATTGAAATAGAGTGGAAGGCTCAGCTCCAAGAGACATTTCTGTGGCTCCAGGCCATACTGATGTACCTTGATTTCCTCACTTGTAATATTAAAAGGGAGTCACTGCCACCTGTCTAGGAGAAAGGACTCTGCTCTTCCTGCCTTCCTCTATTATTTGTAATAATTTTCAGAAGGTTGCCCTCTTTTCATAAAGCAGGTAGAGGTGTTTAATAGCTCTTGAAGCAAAGCAGAGCTTATGAAATTCCTCTGACTGGTCGCATTCTGGACTAAGCCCAAACACGATAGTCCTCTCCAGGCCTGAAAATTGCTGAATACTGTCTAAAACAATGTGGCTTCCGCAAACACCAGTGGCCTGGCTAAACACAACCTCTGATGCTCTGTGGGTCTCAATTAATTCCATTGCTTTTAGCAGTGCAAGCTTATAGCGTCCTCTGTCCTCCCCTCTCCTGCACAGAATTGCTATATCTTTGGGCAGATAGCCACACTGGAACAGGCTGTGACATTTTCCTGCCACATAGTTAGCTATTTGTTCTGTTGTCAGATTAGTCTTTGTCTCACACACTCCAGGCAGACCCTGGGCACACATTGCTTCCTCATAGGCAGTCTCCCTGAACAATGCTAATGTGTCTGGAGATATGTTGGAGGGAGGATTTTCTTTGATCCTCTTCATTTCTTCTTTCATAATATTTGCTATTTCCAGAGCACAGTGGATCCCACTGGTGATTGTTTTGCGAGGAAACTGAGCAGATGGAGGGGGAAGGCCACTGACATCTGCATGATGGATTTGAAAAGGGTCAAGAAAAAGCCAGAGAACCCCATGGTGAAGGTTTTCACTTCCAGCCCCCTTTGCCTTTGGATGGGTGATGTTCTTAGCCTTCATGTACCAATTGCCAAATTTGCTGCAGAAATTCTCAGTCTCATCCATCACTATGTGTTTAATCTTTAGAAACTCCCCTTGCATGAAAGTTTTCCGGGTCACAGCTTGGCAGGTGGTTTGTTGGCTGTAAGGATGGAAAAAACAAGGCTTGAGGCATAACACCAAAGAGAACATCAGCATTCATTACTCCCTGGAATGGAATCAGAGGCTGATTCTCTTCTGCAGACTGAGTCATTGATTCAGTAGTGTGAATACCACAAAACAGTTCTAATTACAAGTTACCTGACAGACCGAATGCATAATTTTACACCTTGCTCTTTGGGGTTATCCAGTTAAATCTGCATGTGAAATTTCTGAAATGAACCCAGGTCACAGATTGTATTATTTCTATTAGCAGTCTGTTCCTACTGTCTGGCAATCCTGAAGACGAGTTCATTACATCTAAAGGAAATCTCAAAGTTAAGTTATACCTCTTACTACCACTACCATTTCTTTACTTTCTATCCTCTTTAGAGCTGGAGAACAGTTACCTAGATGCATATCATAACTTTTATGTGCAAAAAAGCATGCACTAGTTCAAATTCCTCTAAAGCTTCTTTAGATTTGGGTAAGAAAAACATCAAGAGGATGCTGAGTTCCATGACACATCAAGTAGGGTGCCAAATCTACGGGGCTATGCCTCTTTGGAGCTACCTCATTTACTTAGCTCAATTTTCCTTTATAGTATGCTTTAGCATATATGTGTTTTTTCTTAACAAGTTTGGTTGGTTTTTGCCTCCTTTAATTTGGATCCAAGTAACATCGCTCATCCCTACACATTCCATGATTTTACATATGCAGTTTCTAGGGCCTTTACTCCCTATGCCTTGAATCATAACTATGTTCTTCTCTTCTGGTTTGGACTGTGTGGACTCAAATAAAAGCACTGATTCTTAGCCATCTTTGTATCCCTCTTACATTAAGGGTTGAATAGATATTTGTTGAGTTAGCCTTTTTACTGGAGTATTTTTAAACTTAGCTATAAATCTTAATAAAGAACGTAGTCCTCAGCACAGTCTACAGGATCCCTCATAATCTGGCATCTGCCTCCTTTTCAACATCACCACCTGCTATATACCCACACTCCGCACGACTCTAGTCGGACCTACCATTCTGGTTCTCTAGTGTCTCTATGTCTTTGTACTTGTTTTGCCCTTTGCCTAGAAGGCCCTCTCACATTTGATTCACTTCTCCTGCTAACTTCTTAACAGTGTGCCCAATGGTCTCCTTCACTGGAGAATATTTGCCAACCAACCTCTAGCCTGTTAAAATGAGCAGGAGACCAGGTGCAGTGGCTCACGCCTGTAATCCCAGCACTTTGCAAGAAGGAGGTGGGCAGAACACTTGAGGTCAGGAGTTCAAGACCAGCCTAGCCAACATGGTGAAATCCCGTTTCTATGAAAAACACAAAAATTAGCTAGGCATGGTGAGGCACACTTGTAATCCCAGCTACTCAGGAGGCTGAGGCAGGAGAATCACTTGAACCCAGGAGACAGAGGTTGTAGCGAGCTGAGATCATGCCGCTGCACTCCAGCCTGGGCGACAGAGCAAGACTCTGTCTCAAAAATAAATAAATTAATTAATAAATTAATTAAAATGAGCATGCCTTTATTATTATACAATACACACATGGTTTTTTTGTGGCAAGGTCTTCAATATGTTTTCTCCTCTAACACTAAATGTAGCACAGTAGATACCATATCAACAGTGCACAAAAAGATGTATTGAATAACAAAACCAAAACAAAAATCATAATGATTTCACCCTCATTTGCTGAATTCCATAATGACCAATTCATTTTACTAAATTAAAAGTTAGAGATTTAAATCAGAAGTGAATTTGTATATTTTCTAAAATTACTGATTTTACAAGTCAAAAATGAAAATATTTTATGAACAAAATCAAGCTGTATTTAAATTTAAGTTTCGCTAGGTACAATGTCTAATTAGCAGAAATACCCTATGACTTTAAGACATTACGTATCAAACAAAAAGTATACTTAAAGCAGAATGGGTTCATTTCTACTTCTCTTAAATTTAAGGCTAAGGATTATGAAAAAAGAAAGTTTCTGGTTCTATAAATTTAAGTTATGCACATGTGGGTTATTTATAATGAGATGTTTAAGGTTGAACATTCTAAATTACCCGTTTACAGCTCAATTCTGTGATTATTTGGAAATGTGTATATAGTTTGGGCTCTTGCACTTATGCAGCTGAGGCACTAAAAAACTTAAACTAAAAACACAAATTACTTTTGTGACACTCTTGAAAAGACTGACTAAATATATTTGTGTGTGTGTATAGTTGGTAAAACTCTTACGTCACAAAATCCTTTAGGGAGTCACTTTCACAAACATAGAGGATTTCTTTTGGTTTGCAGTGAAACAAGTCCTTAATTTTCTCCATGATCTTTATGGCTAGGGCTGTCTTCCTGATTCCTGGAAAGCAGTGGATGAATAATTCACGCGTCTCCTGAAGACTCTCAGAAAGCAACTGGTTCTGCTCCATTATAAGCAAGTTGAAAAACTCACAGCCCAGCTGGTCACTCAGAAGAGATCTGGAGCACAGGCAGACCACCACAAGAGCCTGCAGCAAGTCTTCCATTTCCTCCTCATCAGCAAGCCTGTAGGACCTGGGGTAGCGCAGCGGGATCTCACCAGCTCTACTCTGTGTGCTGGTCAGGTGTATCAGCCTTGGAATGATGCACACTTTCCCTGTATAACCACCAACAGCTTGCAGTTTCTGCTTTAACTGATGAGCTGTGTTTCGGGCATATTCAAGTCCTCCAAGCCAATCGGGGTCTATTAAGATTGTATAGAGTACCATGGGGCTGTTAACTGCTATTAGGAGAGCATCACACAGGACATTCTGTTCTTTCCTGAAGCCAACATCACCAGCCCAGCTTCTAGAAAATATCATAATCCCCTGAGAACAAGGATGTATCAGGGTCTTCATTAATCCCTCCAGTTCTTTATGATCTGAGAACAGCTTCTTACAGAGGGATTCTGGTTTAAATTGTACCTCTTGCTGTGTCACTGAAAATTCAAGGAATAGATGTTACCAAAACTTACAAAAGCATATGGTAAGTATTCCTGCAACATTGCAGAAAAAAAAATGATACCTGGTGCACTTGGGAAAATAAGAGCTTTCCTTTAGAATTGTGATTCTTAACCAGGAGCAGTTTTACTCCCCAACTCTCCCCCATCCCCAAGGATATTTGGCAATGTCTAGAGAATATATATATATATATATGTATTTTTTTAGATGGAGTCTCGCTGTCACCCAGACTGGAGTCCAGTGGCGTAATCTTGGCTCACTGCAGTCTCTGCATCCCTGGTTCCAGCGATTCTTCTCCCTCAGCCTCCAGAGTAGCTGAGATTACAGTCACACGCCACCACACCTGGCTAATTTTTGTATTTTTAGTAGAGACAGATTTCACCATGTTGGCTAGGTTGGTCTTGAACTCCTGACCTCAGGTGAGGTCACCCGCCTCGGCCTCCCAAAGTGCTGGGATTACAGGCATGAGCCACCGTGTCCGGCCTGAGAATTTTTTATTGTCACAATTGGAGGGGAGCTACTGGTATGTAGTAGGTACCAGCCAGAATGCTGCTAAGTATTCTACAATTCACAGGACTCTCCCTCCCCCAGCAAAGAGTTATCTGACTCAAATGACAATAGTGCTAAGGTTGAGAAACCCTGCTTCAGAAGAAGTTCAGATAACCCAATAGTTCCTTCTCCATTGGAAAGCCAGGGGCAGTTTTTTGATGGTTGAGACCTGAGAAATTCCCTGCACTCTCAAATTTGGAAAACAAAAGCCATATGTTATGAGAAGTTGGAAAGCACACAGAAATAGTAACAGTGGGACTCAGATGACTGGAAACAAGGGTCAGATATATAGATATTTAGATATTATATATGTTATATATAATATCTATATGTAAAATTTCAGGATCATTATGTCTGCTAAGTCCTTCTTCTTACCTTCTCTAAGGAGAAACACTTGAACTCATTGCTACTAATACCTCCCAACTCAATTTTAGAAAACAAATAGTCCCCTAAGTTGAAATCAAGAGGGAATACCTGGAAACAAATGTCGTTGCAGAGCCTCCTTAAATTCATGGACTTTTATGGGATATCCAGGACTTTTTCGTGCAAATGAAGCTGATGAAATCAGGTAAGAGTTGTAGTCTGTGACCAAGCTGGAAGGAGCTAGACAATTACATGGAAAATTGTTTCAAACAAAAAATAAAAATAAAAAAAAAAAAGCCTCTTTTTTTGGCTCTTATTGCTGGAGACCTATGATGTGCGTGGCTGCCTGAGCTGTCATACTTACTGTACCTCAGACAGCTCACATATGTCAGGAAAGGAAGTCTGGGGATTCCTGCAGGGGACATATCACACATATTCTAGGTCACTGTGTGACTCGGCTTGGGCAAGTCATTTCACCTCTCTCTCACGCAGGAGTGAAGTAATAATCCCTCAGGTTCATTCCAGTTATAATATTCTGACTCCAAGTTGTCTCTACGAAGAAAAAGCATCTAGTGGGGATCAGCAAGGATTAAAGCACAGTATTTGAAAAATGGTGTTGGCCAGGTGTGGTGACTCACACCTGTAATCCCAGTACTTTGGGAGGCTGAGGTGGGTGGATCACCTGAGGTCAGGAGTAAAAGACCAGCCTGGCCAACATGATGAAACCCTGTCCCTACTAAAAATACAAAAATTAGCTAGGCATGGTGGTGCGCCTGTAATCCCAGCTACTCGGGAGGCTGAGGTGGGAGAATTGCTTGAACCTGGGAGGCAGAGGCTGCAGTGAACTGAGATCATGCCACTGCACTCCAGTCTAGGCGACAGAGCAAGACCCTGTCTCAAAAAAAAAAAAAAAGTTGTTACAGTTATTTATGTCCCCATCTAAGGTTAGATGGAATCCAAAGTGGCAGGATCTTTGGGGGAGAGGAGGAGAGAAGTGAACTCAAACAAATTTAAAACAAGAGAAAGAATGACCCAGTAAAATTCTCTAATCACTCAAGTCTTGATCAAATTTGGAACACACTGGCCGTGAAGTCAAGCAGATAATCCATAAAGGACTATAGGCTTAGTTCGCATCTTCTTTTGCATCATTTTCCCCCACTTGGTGGTGCCCTAAGCCCAGTGGCTTAAGGTTATTAGCTCCTAATGTTACTGAAACAGTTCAAATTTGTCAACAATGTTTTGCTTGAAAGAATTAGTAGAATAGTGGAGTCATTTTTTTTTTTTTTTTTTCAGACAGGGTCTTGCTCTGTTGCTTAGGCTGGAGTGCAGTGGGTGATCTCGGCTGACTGCAACCTCTACCTCCCAGGCTCCAGCAATTCCCCCCACCTCACCCTCCCATGTAGCTGGGACTACAGCGGTACACCACCACGCTTGGCTAATTTTTATATTTGGGGGAGAGATGGGGCTTCACTGTGTTGGCCAGGCTGGTCTCAAACTCCTGGGCTCAAGCAATCTGCCCACCTCGGCCTCCCAAAGTGCTAGGACTGCGCCTGGCCTCGGAGTCATTTTTAAACAGTGTTTCTCTAGAATATCATCTCTAAAATGAGGTTATTCCAATTTTGACTGGGATGATCAGCCTACACAATTTTTTCAACAGGTTTATAGAGAATAAAAGGAGACCTTTCCTAACTCATGGCTGATGGCATACTGTAACTTTCCTTTAAAAGTTGCTTAGGCTGGCCAGGAGTGGTGGCTCATACCTGTAATCCCAGCACTTTGGGAGGTTGAGGTGAGTGGATCACTTGAGGTTAGAAGTTCAAGACCAGCCTGGGCAACATGGCGAAACCCCATCTCTATTAAAAATACAAAAATTAGCCAGCATGGTGGCGTGTGCCTGTAATCCCAGCTACTTGGGAGGCTGAGGCAGGAGAATCACTTGCAGCTGGGAGGTGGAGGTTGCAGTGAGCCCAGATCACACCACTGCCCTCCAGCCTGGGTGACAGAGTCTTAAAAAAAATAAAAAATAAAAAGTTGTTTAGGCCATAGAATCCAAACGTTTCTTGACCTCAAATGGTTTATATTCTGAGTCTTTGGAACTAAAAATGTTAGATAAGGAACACTGTAATGGGAGAACACTTATAAGCAAATATAAATTTCTATTTTTTTAACTAAAATATACGATCAAACATCCACAAAAGGCAGAGAAAGGGGTTCCTCCCTGCTGATGGGGACAATGACTTCATTTCCCTTTACCTGACTGAGTATCCAGCATCATGACCACCCACTGCTCAGCTGTCAGCCGTGTGACAGAATTGTCTTTCATGATCCAGGAATCTGGGGCCTCTGCAAACACCACGCAACAGAAGGGCTCCACTTGAATCACACAGACATAACCATCCAGGACATCTTTTTGGTACACGTTCAGGATTTTTGTAGTGAAATTTACCTTTGGCTTCTCACAGCAGAAGTGGAATGTAGGCAATTTTTCAATGCAGTTTTCGATTTCTTTTTTTAATAAATCAGGATTCACTTTTTCCCACTTACATCCAACCACTTCTTTGCTCTTATCATCCACCCCAATGAGGACATATCCCCCTTGAGTGTTGGCAAATGCAGAAACATAATGAGGCAGCATTTCTTTAATCCGAGGTATGACCTTTTTGGTGGTGAACCTTTTAAATTCGACATGTGTTGACTCAGTAAAGTTGAGTTTCTCCTTATACATGAGTCTGTCCTTTTTAAAAAACTCTGAGGCCAATATCCTCATATCTTCCTCTTCTTGAATGTATCTATCAAGAACCTGCTGAGGACGCAACTTCTTCACCCTTGGTCTTCCTCTTTGGGCTCTAAAACATTTCTCTCTGAGAAGCTCCAGGGCACTGCTAGCACTCAAGTTGATAGCAGAAGTCACATCTCTCTGATATAAATTGGAGCGCAAGCTGCAAATCCTTAGTGGAAGGCTGAAAACATCTGGGCTCCATGACTTCACAAAAATGAGGAGATTGTGCCCCTGCTGCATGTAGTCAAGGTATTTCTGTGAACCTGAAGGAAGGAGCTTTTGAAAAGAAGTTTCCAAATCCTGTCCCAGCCCATGGCATTGGTAACTATAGGTTTTATCATCAATCTCTGCTTTGATCACACCACCTCCAGAATTTAACAGTGCACATATAGCCCGGATAATTCTAGAATTCTCAGATCTTTTCAAATAGCTGTTGGTCATCTTCTTCCTGTTTTCTTCCCCAAAAATCACTTTGCCCACATCTACTATTTCCTCAGGATAGGGCATTTCAGTATCAGTCTTGAGACTCTCCATTTCAGCAGCCCCTCTGTGCTCCAAAAAATAAAAGAAAGGAGTTCCTATAATCAGGATAGAAATGTTTCTACATTAACAAGAATTCCAAAGATTACATTATTTTCTTCAAAACTATCAATTACTGGAGATACATTTTAATGTCGGAAATCATCTCTCCATATATGTACATTTGTTGTTGTTTGTTTGTTTTGGGTTTTTAGGGTTTGTTTGTTTGTTTGTTTTTGAGACAGGATCTTGCTCTCTTGTGCAGCCTGGAGTGCAGTGGCGCAATAATAGTTGGCTGCAACCTCAACCTCCCAGCTCAAGTGATTCTCCAACTTTAGTCTCCCTAGTAGCTGAGACTACAGACACGTGCCATGCCTGGCTAATTTTTCTTTTTCTTTCTTTCTTTCTTTTTTTTTCTTCTTTTTTTTGGCAAGAGATGGAGTCTTGCTATGCTGCAATCCTCCTGCCTAGACTTCCCTCCCAAAGTGTTGGAATTACAGACGTGAGCCACCACACCCAACTGGAAATTATCTTTGATACTGCTGTTTTCTAATCATTTTGCCAAATATCTTTAGCCTTGCCAGAATAAGTAGGCATAGATAAAGGTGAATGCTTAATATTTGTCATAATGGAAAAATTAAATTGCTAACATTTTCAGCCGTTTTGCATTTCAAATCAGTAAACACCAACACTGAGCCTGGATGTAAAGGGCATAGGTTGGCACAGGAGCCCAGCAAGGTATTAGAGAATATGCAGAAATAGAAGTCGAAGTGAGAAGATGCTCTTATTTATAATTCAAAAGGGGAAGAAAGGAAGGCACTAGAGAACTAAGGAAGTATCATTTTATAGTATATGTACTGTAGAAGATCTTGCTATAAACACAAACATAGGCTGGGTGTGGTAGCTCACAATCTGTAATCTCAGCACTTTGGGAGGTGGATGTGAGAGGATTGCTTTCAGCCAGAAGTTGAGACCAGCATGGACAACATAGCAAGACCCCATCTCTACAAAAGATTTTTAAAATGTTAAACATTAGGCAGGTATAGTGGTGCACACCTGCAGTCCCAGCTACCTAGGAGGCTGAGGTGGGAGGATCTCTTGAGCCCAGGAGTTTGAGGCTGCAGCGAGCCATGATCGCACAACTGCACTCCAGCCTGGGTGGCAGAGTGGGACTCTGTCTAAAAAAATGAAAATAAAAGTAAATAAATTAAATTCGGTATTTTTATGTAGTATTTCATGCACTTTGAAAAGCTTTATTTTACTCCTGAAAGAATGTCATTTGATACCAAATGCAGAAACCTTTTTAACTCTTCACATGTTCTAAATCTCAAAAGTACATTTCTTCATGTATAGTGTGATGTGAGAGCAGCATTTTCCTTTCCTTCTAATAGTTCTGCCCTGTGCTGCGGAAACCTCTAAGACTTGGAAAAGAACACGAGCTTTTGGGGCATGGTCACTAAACTATTGTCACCCTTCTTTTGCTTCCTAGACCAGAAAACAGCCACCTAAGCTGAAATTTGAGCTCTGAAACAAATATTTTAGAAAAGATCCCCTTACCTTTAGTTAATTGCAAAACAAAATATTTGCTAACTCAACCAAAATTATTCCCCTAGGAGAAGAGAATCCATCTTTCTGCGTGATCTTTGCAAAGCAGGGGCCCTGTGGGTGTTGTATGTACTCACCAAGAGGAAGAAAGCAGGCATCCGGCAAGACATGTGCACTCCTCTGACATCAGTTTGTTCTTGGTTGCCTTCTCACTTCCTTCAGGAAAACCAGAGTTGACCTGGGGAATTGTTTTTAGAATGTGAGCCTCTTCTATAGGTACATGTAAATGTAGTATTTTATGGCTCCTTAGGGAAATTTCCCATAACATTCTATTTATATCATAGAATCACAGAAGTATTAGAAAGGACTTTAAAGAGCCTCCGGTCCAACAATCTATCTGATTCTAAAATCTCCTCTATAATATTCCCAACTCCCAACAAGTTGCTATGCAAACCTCCAGCGATGAGCAACTCACTACCTATCAAATAGTCCCTCTAGTCTCTCCTGTTCTCTGACATCTGTGTTAGAAATGGTCTCCTTACTTTAAGCTGCAGTTTGTCTCCCCATAACTTCCACTGATGGGACCCACAAAACAAATCTAATTGATTTTGAACTAGCAGACCCTATGGTCTCGTGACTCCTAAGTCTCATCAATGTTATTTGAATACTGATAACAATTATGATAAATACAACATTTACTGAGGTTCTAGCTTCAGATGAATATCCTTTCCACATTTCCCAGAATTTTTTTTTTTCTTTTTTTGAGACAGAGTTTGGCTCTGTGCCCATGCTGGAGTACAGTGGCACGATCTCTCCGCCCCTCAGGTTCAAGCGATTCTCCTGCCTCAGCCTCCAGAGTAGCTGGGACTACAGGCAAGAGCTACCACTCTCGATAAATTTTTGTATTTTTAGTAGAGATGGGGTTTTACCATGTTGGCCAGGCTGGTCTCGAACTGTTGACCTCGGGTGATCCACCCACCTGAGCCTCCCAAAGTGCTGGGATTACAGGGATGGGCCACCATACCCGGCCTTCCCAGAATTTTTTTACTCATTTTCCTTCACAAATTTTCCCTTAAATACATTTTGCTAATCCCTCATGCCCTTAGACGTAGACTGCACCTAAAATTAGATAAATGGGAAAAAAAAAAGAATTTTTTTTTCTTTTTTTTTTTTTTCTTTTTTACCTATGTTCTTGTGTTTCCTCTCGCTGCTTGTTTCACATCTGGCTGTAGTCTGAATGTTTGCCTCTGTCACAGCCCCTTTTGCCCTTCGATATTAGCCTGGGAGGAGCAGACTCCCCACTTCTTCATAACACTGACATACTGAGGAAGGCTGATAAGGACTCATGAAGAGCCTGTGACAGGGCAGATTAGCAGGCCAGGGTCTGACCTCAGGGAGTGAATGAGGTCGTAATGAGAAAATGCAGGGGTGAAAGGCAAAAGTTAAACTTAGCACTTCTAAGAAACTGAGCTTCATTTCCACATATCATACAAGTACCTTCAGCCCTGGAAAATTTTGTGTGCAAAGCTCTATTTTTATTTTCAATTAAGCTGTCCTGTACATATTCATTGTGGGCAATATTAACCTATTAAATTACCTTCTAAATGGTTTGTTCTATTCTATTTAATTTTATTCTTTTTCCTACTTTTCATCTTTGTTAAACACAAGATCCAGCCTAGAAAAATCCTCATAGATTAGGAGCTGGCTATCCCTGGGTAGCAGGATTAAAGGTAATTTTTCCATTTATTTTTCTTCCCTTCATTACCTTTAACTGATCTGTATTTTTAATGGTTCATAATGAGTATAAATTGTTTTTCATAATTAAAAAACAAATGGTAAAAACCAACAGATGGGCTGGGCGTGGTGGCTCACACCGATAATCCCAGCACTTTGTGGGGCCAAGGTGGGTGGATCACCTGAGGTCAGGAGTTCGAGACCAGCCTGACCAATATGGTGAAACCCTGTCTCTACTAAAAATACAAAAGTTAGCCTGGCGTGGTGTTGTGTGCCTGTAATCCCAGCTACTGGAGAGGCTGAGACAGGAGAACTGCTTGAACCTGGGAGACAGAGGTTACAGTGAGCCGACATCGTGCCACTGTATTCCAGCCTGGGCAACAGAGCAAGACTTCAACTCAAAAAAAGAAAAGAAAAGAAACAAAGAAAGAAAAAAGAAAGAAAGGAAAAGAAAACCCAACAGATGCTGGGGGCAGTGGCTCATGCCTATAATCCCAGCATTTTGGGAGGCCGAGGCAGGAAGATCACCTGAGGTCAGGAGTTCAAGACCAGCCTGGCCGACACGGTGAAACCCCGTCTCTACTAGAAATACAAAAATTAGCTGGGCATGGTGGTGGGCGCCTGTAATTCCAGCTACTGGGGAGGCTGGGACAGGAGAATTGCTTGAATCCGGGAGGCAGAGGTTGCAATGAGCTGAGATCGTGCCACTGCATTCCAGCCTGGGCAACAGAGCAAAACTCTGTCTCAAAAACAAACAAACAAACAAAACAAAACAAAAAAAGAAAAAAACAGATGCCGGGCACAGTGGCTCATGCTTGTAATCCCAGCATTTTGGGAGGCCAAGGCAGGTGGATCACGAGGTCAGGAGTTCAAGACCAGCCTGGCCAACATGGTGAAACCCCGTCTCTACTAAAAATACAAAAATTAGCCGGGCATGGTGGCCGGCGCCTGTAATCCCAGCTACTCAGGAGGCTGAGGTAGGAGAATCACTTGAATCTGGGAGGCGGAGGTTGCAGTGAGCTGGGATTGCGCCACTGCACTCCAGCCTCCAGCCTACGAGACAGAGCAAGACTCCATCTCAAAAAAAGAAAAAAAACAACAACAGATGGGAGGCAGTTAGTTATCTCATTTGAGGATGGTGGCTAAACTGGGTCAAGCTTTGATACACACAAAAGGGGAGGAGGCAATGTGATCATAGAAGCAGAGACTGGAGTGATGCAGCTGTAAGTAAAGGAACGCCAGCAGCCACCAGAAGCTGGAAGAGTATCCCCTCTTCCAGCAGGTCCATGGCAACACTTTATTTTATTTTCTTTTTCTTTTTTTTTTTTTTTTTTTGACAGAGTCTTGCTCTGTTGCTCAGGCTGGAGTGCAGTGGCGTGATCTCGGCTTACTGCAACCACTGCCTCCTGGGTTCAAGCAATTCTCCCACCTCAGCCTCCAGAGTAGCTGGGATTACAGGTGCGCACCACCACGCCTGGCTAATTTATGTAAGTTTAATAGAAGCAGGGTTTCGCCATGTTGCCCAGGATGGTCTCGAACTCCTGACCTCATGTGATCTGCCTGCCTCAGCCTCTCAACGTCCTGGGATTACAGGTGTGAGCCACCATGCCCGGTCCATGCCAACACTTTAATTTCAACTCAGTGAAACTGATGTTGAACTTCTAGCTGTTCAAAAAAAAAAGCAAAAACAAAAACAACAAAAATAACCAAATGAATGGAGCTAGAGGCCATTATCCTTAGCAAACTAATACAGGAACAG